GCACCAGGTGGCCCTACAACAACAACAACAACAGGAGGGTACTCACTACAGCACCAGGTGGCCCTACAACAACAACAACAACAGGAGGGTACTCACTACAGCACCAGGTGGCCCTACAACAACAACAACAACAGGAGGGTACTCACTACAGCACCAGGTGGCCCTACAACAACAACAACAACAGGAGGGTACTCACTACAGCACCAGGTGGCCCTACAACAACAACAACAACAGGAGGGTACTCACTACAGCACCAGGTGGCCCTACAACAACAACAACAACAGGAGGGTACTCACTACAGCACCAGGTGGCCCTACAACAACAACAACAACAGGAGGGTACTCACTACAGCACCAGGTGGCCCTACAACAACAACAACAACAGGAGGGTACTCACTACAGCACCAGGTGGCCCTACAACAACAACAACAACAGGAGGGTACTCACTACAGCACCAGGTGGCCCTACAACAACAACAACAACAGGAGGGTACTCACTACAGCACCAGGTGGCCCTACAACAACAACAACAACAGGAGGGTACTCACTACAGCACCAGGTGGCCCTACAACAACAACAACAACAGGAGGGTACTCACTACAGCACCAGGTGGCCCTACAACAACAACAACAACAGGAGGGTACTCACTACAGCACCAGGTGGCCCTACAACAACAACAACAACAGGAGGGTACTCACTACAGCACCAGGTGGCCCTACAACAACAACAACAACAGGAGGGTACTCACTACAGCACCAGGTGGCCCTACAACAACAACAACAACAGGAGGGTACTCACTACAGCACCAGGTGGCCCTACAACAACAACAACAACAGGAGGGTACTCACTACAGCACCAGGTGGCCCTACAACAACAACAACAACAGGAGGGTACTCACTACAGCACCAGGTGGCCCTACAACAACAACAACAACAGGAGGGTACTCACTACAGCACCAGGTGGCCCTACAACAACAACAACAACAGGAGGGTACTCACTACAGCACCAGGTGGCCCTACAACAACAACAACAACAGGAGGGTACTCACTACAGCACCAGGTGGCCCTACAACAACAACAACAACAGGAGGGTACTCACTACAGCACCAGGTGGCCCTACAACAACAACAACAACAGGAGGGTACTCACTACAGCACCAGGTGGCCCTACAACAACAACAACAACAGGAGGGTACTCACTACAGCACCAGGTGGCCCTACAACAACAACAACAACAGGAGGGTACTCACTACAGCACCAGGTGGCCCTACAACAACAACAACAACAGGAGGGTACTCACTACAGCACCAGGTGGCCCTACAACAACAACAACAACAGGAGGGTACTCACTACAGCACCAGGTGGCCCTACAACAACAACAACAACAGGAGGGTACTCACTACAGCACCAGGTGGCCCTACAACAACAACAACAACAGGAGGGTACTCACTACAGCACCAGGTGGCCCTACAACAACAACAACAACAGGAGGGTACTCACTACAGCACCAGGTGGCCCTACAACAACAACAACAACAGGAGGGTACTCACTACAGCACCAGGTGGCCCTACAACAACAACAACAACAGGAGGGTACTCACTACAGCACCAGGTGGCCCTACAACAACAACAACAACAGGAGGGTACTCACTACAGCACCAGGTGGCCCTACAACAACAACAACAACAGGAGGGTACTCACTACAGCACCAGGTGGCACTATGTTATGACCCCACATACACCAAGTATGACTGGTGTATGATGGTATCATACCTTAGTATACAGTGTAGCAGGCAGTGTAGCCTAGCCTGCTGTCTCTTAAACATATGATTACATGTATACATTCTTAAATTCTATGTACCGACTTTATATGTTGTTATGCACCATGTATACATGTATATGCTTGATGTATTATGCTAGTAATACGAATGTATTATGATACATCTATTTCCAAGCTGAGAAATGAGTTGATGTATTAGAGTTGACGGTAAAGTTCTAGAATCATCTTTCTCCCCCTCCTCCCCCCTCCCTCCCCCCCCCCCCCGTACTGGTCCAGCTAGTGTTGCCAAGTCTCGTAGATATGAACTCCTTGTATATATAAATATATTATCTCCTTTGTGTGATATAATGCTTAGTTACTTTCTTGGGGAATGTATTGTATCGTATTGTATTATTTATAAGTATGTTTAAGGATGTATTGCTTGTAAATGACGTGTTCTGAGATAGAGATATTTGAAAGAGTAGTGACGGCCATCTTGCAGAGTTGGCTACAGTGTCTCTCGGGGCTCTCCCGCCTCCTGGGAGCTCAGTGCCCGCTTGGCGCTGCTGACGAGAGGTCACGCTGCGTCGTGCTCCCATCTGTGTGGCTTTTGTAGCGTCTAATGACCCTGTAACATATAATATGTACCTCTATTGATGTGTAGCGGCTCAGTCTACTGATGTGTAGCGGCTCAGTCTACTGATGTGTAGCACCTCAGTCTACTGATGTGTAGCACCTCAGTCTACTGATGTGTAGCACCTCAGTCTACTGATGTGTAGCACCTCAGTCTACTGATGTGTAGCACCTCAGTCTACTGATGTGTAGCACCTCAGTCTACTGATGTGTAGCACCTCAGTCTACTGATGTGTAGCACCTCAGTCTACTGATGTGTAGCACCTCAGTCTACTGATGTGTAGCACCTCAGTCTACTGATGTGTAGCACCTCAGTCTACTGATGTGTAGCACCTCAGTCTACTGATGTGTAGCACCTCAGTCTACTGATGTGTAGCACCTCAGTCTACTGATGTGTAGCACCTCAGTCTACTGATGTGTAGCACCTCAGTCTACTGATGTGTAGCACCTCAGTCTACTGATGTGTAGCACCTCAGTCTACTGATGTGTAGCACCTCAGTCTACTGATGTGTAGCACCTCAGTCTACTGATGTGTAGCACCTCAGTCTACTGATGTGTAGCACCTCAGTCTACTGATGTGTAGCACCTCAGTCTACTGATGTGTAGCGGCTCAGTCTACTGATGTGTAGCACCTCAGTCTACTGATGTGTAGCGGCTCAGTCTACTGACGTGCAGCGGCTCAGTCTACTGATGTGTAGCGGCTCAGTCTACTGATGTGTAGTGGCTCAGTCTACTGATGTGTAGCGGCTCAGTCTACTGATGTGTAGCGGCTCAGTCTACTGATGTGTTGCGGCTCAGTCTACTGATGTGTAGCGGCTCAGTCTACTGATGTGTAGCGGCTCAGTCTACTGATGTGTAGCGGCTCAGTCTACTGATGTGTAGCGGCTCAGTCTACTGATGTGTAGCGGCTCAGTCTACTGATGTGTAGTGGCTCAGTCTACTGACGTGCAGCGGCTCAGTCTACTGATGTGTAGTGGCTCAGTCTACTGATGTGTAGCGGCTCAGTCTACTGATGTGTAGCACCTCAGTCTACTGATGTGTAGCGGCTCAGTCTACTGATGTGTAGCGGCTCAGTCTACTGATGTGTAGCGGCTCAGTCTACTGATGTGTTGCGGCTCAGTCTACTGATGTGTTGCGGCTCAGTCTACTGATGTGTAGCGGCTCAGTCTACTGATGTGTAGCGGCTCAGTCTACTGGTGTGTAGCGGCTCAGTCTACTGATGTACAGCGGCTCAGTCTACTGATGTGTAGCGGCTCAGTCTACTGATGTGCAGCGGCTCAGTCTACTGATGTGTAGCGGCTCAGTCTACTGATGTGTAGCGGCTCAGTCTACTGATGTGTAGCGGCTCAGTCTACTGATGTGTTGCGGCTCAGTCTACTGATGTGTAGCGGCTCAGTCTACTGATGTGTAGCGGCTCAGTCTACTGATGTGTAGCGGCTCAGTCTACTGATGTGTAGCACCTCAGTCTACTGATGTGTAGCGGCTCAGTCTACTGATGTGTAGCACCTCAGTCTACTGATGTGTAGCGGCTCAGTCTACTGATGTGTAGCACCTCAGTCTACTGATGTGCAGCGGCTCAGTCTACTGATGTGCACCAGTCTGACAGGTGGAAGGTGATATTTTCTGTATGGTTTATGTGGTGGACTTCTGAGGATATTAAGTGACTGGATGATATTGTTTCCTCTCAACACTAGTGATACTTTGTGACACATTCTGTATAATACTTTGATCTGAAGCATGTTAGTGGACCACTGCACTAGGATAGAGCTAGTGGACCACTGTACTAGGATAGAGCCTAGTGAGAGCTAGTGGACCACTGCACTAGGATAGAGCCTAGTGAGAGCTAGTGGACCGCTGTACTAGGATAGAGCCTAGTGAGAGCTAGTGGACCACTGTACTAGGATAGAGCCTAGTGAGAGCTAGTGGACCACTGCACTAGGATAGAGCTAGTGGACCACTGTACTAGGATAGAGCCTAGTGAGAGCTAGTGGACCACTGCACTAGGATAGAGCCTAGTGAGAGCTAGTTCAGAGAGTGTGCAGTACACTGTATCATGATAATTCCGAAGAGTTTTAAGTAAAGTTAGTTACTGTGAAATAATATCAGTTGTAGAGAACTTAGACTTGTTGTGTTCCGGAGCCATATTTGATATGTCCAGTAAACTGGTTACTTTTATGTCCAGTAAACTGGTTACTTTTATGTCCAGTAAACTGGTTACTTTTAGTGAGTGTTTATATACCGTTAGACACGTATTGTAGGCCAGGTGGTCTTATTGAGTTTGGGTCACATTATTATTATTACCAGCGAGGCTGTGGAACCTTAGGGCACCACACAATACAATACGAGGAGTACTCACTACTCCACGACCACCACCAGGTGGCACTACAATACAACAACAACATCCTACAATACAACAACAACAACAAGAGGAGGAGTACTCACTACTCCACGACCACCACCAGGTGGCACTACAATACAACAACAACATCCTACAATACAACAACAACAACAAGAGGAGGAGTACTCACTACTCCACGACCACCACCAGGTGGCACTACAATACAACAACAACATCCTACAATACAACAACAACAACAAGAGGAGGGGTACTCACTACTCCATGACCAGTACAAGTTCAGTTTGTGTACTAAAGACGTCTTGCAGCTGTATGGTTCGCTGTGATGGCCTCAAGATGGCGCTGACCGCCACCTCGTGCAGGATGTCAGCGGTACAGTCAGCGCCCAGACGCCATCTGGACGAAAACTTGGCAGCGAACTCCTCCCCCGTGATCCTGTGTCGACAGTGGTACACCACGGCGAACTGTCCCCTGTGGGAGAATAGTAGGTATTAGTACACCACGGTCAACTGTCCCCTGTGGGAGAATAGTAGGTATTAGTACACCACGGCCAACTGTCCCCTGTGGGAGAATAGTAGGTATTAGTACACCACGGCCAACTGTCCCCTGTGGGAGAATAGTAGGTATTAGTACACCACGGCCAACTGTCCCCTGTGGGAGAATAGTAGGTATTAGTACACCACGGCCAACTGTCCCCCGTGGGAGAATAGTAGGTATTAGTACACCACGGCCAACTGTCCCCTGTGGGAGAATAGTAGGTATTAGTACACCACGGCCAACTGTCCCCCGTGGGAGAATAGTACACCACGGTCAACTGTCCCCTGTGGGAGAATAGTACACCACGGCCAACTGTCCCCTGTGGGAGAATAGTAGGTATTAGTACACCACGGCCAACTGTCCCCTGTGGGAGAATAGTAGGTATTAGTACACCACGGCCAACTGTCCCCTGTGGGAGAATAGTACACCACGGCCAACTGTCCCCTGTGGGAGAATAGTAGGTATTAGTACACCACGGCCAACTGTCCCCTGTGGGAGAATAGTAGGTATTAGTACACCACGGCCAACTGTCCCCTGTGGGAGAATAGTACACCACGGCCAACTGTCCCCCGTGGGAGAATAGTACACCACGGTCAACTGTCCCCTGTGGGAGAATAGTACACCACGGCCAACTGTCCCCTGTGGGAGAATAGTAGGTATTAGTACACCACGGCCAACTGTCCCCTGTGGGAGAATAGTAGGTATTAGTACACCACGGCCAACTGTCCCCTGTGGGAGAATAGTAGGTATTAGTACACCACGGCCAACTGTCCCCTGTGGGAGAATAGTACACCACGGCCAACTGTCCCCGGTGGGAGAATAGTACACCACGGCCAACTGTCCCCTGTGGGAGAATAGTAGGTATTAGTACACCACGGCCAACTGTCCCCTGTGGGAGGATAGTAGGTATTAGTACACCACGGCCAACTGTCCCCTGTGGGAGAATAGTAGGTATTAGTACACCATGGCCAACTGTCCCCTGTGGGAGAATAGTACACCACGGCCAACTGTCCCCTGTGGGAGAATAGTACACCACGGTCAACTGTCCCCTGTGGGAGAATAGTAGGTATTAGTACACCACGACCAACTGCCCCCTGTGGGAGAATAGTACACCACGACCAACTGTCCCCTGTGGGAGAATAGTACACCACGGCCAACTGTCCCCTGTGGGAGAATAGTAGGTATTAGTACACCACGGCCAACTGTCCCCTGTGGGAGAATAGTAGGTATTAGTACACCACGGCCAACTGTCCCCTGTGGGAGAATAGTACACCACGGCCAACTGTCCCCTGTGGGAGAATAGTACACCACGGTCAACTGTCCCCTGTGGGAGAATAGTAGGTATTAGTACACCACGACCAACTGCCCCCTGTGGGAGAATAGTACACCACGACCAACTGTCCCCTGTGGGAGAATAGTACACCACGGCCAACTGTCCCCTGTGGGAGAATAGTAGGTATTAGTACACCACGGCCAACTGTCCCCTGTGGGAGAATAGTAGGTATTAGTACACCACGGCCAACTGTCCCCTGTGGGAGAATAGTAGGTATTAGTACACCACGGCCAACTGTCCCCTGTGGGAGAATAGTACACCACGGTCAACTGTCCCCTGTGGGAGAATAGTACACCACGGCCAACTGTCCCCTGTGGGAGAATAGTACACCACGGCCAACTGTCCCCTGTGGGAGGATAGTAGGTATTAGTACACCACGGCCAACTGTCCCCTGTGGGAGAATAGTAGGTATTAGTACACCACGGCCAACTGTCCCCTGTGGGAGAATAGTAGGTATTAGTACACCACGGCCAACTGTCCCCTGTGGGAGAATAGTAGGTATTAGTACACCACGGCCAACTGTCCCCTGTGGGAGAATAGTAGGTATTAGTACACCACGGCCAACTGTCCCCTGTGGGAGAATAGTAGGTATTAGTACACCACGGCCAACTGTCCCCTGTGGGAGAATAGTACACCACGGTCAACTGTCCCCTGTGGGAGAATAGTACACCACGGCCAACTGTCCCCTGTGGGAGGATAGTAGGTATTAGTACACCACGGCCAACTGTCCCCTGTGGGAGAATAGTAGGTATTAGTACACCACGGCCAACTGTCCCCTGTGGGAGAATAGTAGGTATTAGTACACCACGGCCAACTGTCCCCTGTGGGAGAATAGTACACCACGGCCAACTGTCCCCTGTGGGAGAATAGTAGGTATTAGTACACCACGGCCAACTGTCCCCTGTGGGAGAATAGTAGGTATTAGTACACCATGGCCAACTGTCCCCTGTGGGAGAATAGTAGGTATTAATACACCACGGCCAACTGTCCCCTGTGGGAGAATAGTAGGTATTAGTACACCACGACCAACTGCCCCCTGTGGGAGAATAGTACACCACGACCAACTGTCCCCTGTGGGAGAATAGTACACCACGGCCAACTGTCCCCTGTGGGAGAATAGTACACCACGGTCAACTGTCCCCTGTGGGAGAATAGTACACCACGGTCAACTGTCCCCTGTGGGAGAATAGTACACCACGGCCAACTGTCCCCTGTGGGAGAATAGTACACCACGGCCAACTGTCCCCTGTGGGAGAATAGTACACCACGGCCAACTGTCCCCTGTGGGAGAATAGTACACCACGGCCAACTGTCCCCTGTGGGAGAATAGTACACCACGGCCAACTGTCCCCTGTGGGAGAATAGTACACCACGGCCAACTGTCCCCTGTGGGAGAATAGTACACCACGGCCAACTGTCCCCTGTGGGAGAATAGTACACCACGGCCAACTGTCCCCTGTGGGAGAATAGTACACCACGGCCAACTGTCCCCTGTGGGAGAATAGTACACCACGGCCAACTGTCCCCTGTGGGAGAATAGTACACCACGGCCAACTGTCCCCTGTGGGAGAATAGTACACCACGGCCAACTGTCCCCTGTGGGAGAATAGTACACCACGGCCAACTGTCCCCTGTGGGAGAATAGTACACCACGGCCAACTGTCCCCTGTGGGAGAATAGTACACCACGGCCAACTGTCCCCTGTGGGAGAATAGTACACCATGGCCAACTGTCCCCTGTGGGAGAATAGTAGGTATTAGTACACCACGGCCAACTGTCCCCTGTGGGAGAATAGTACACCACGGCCAACTGTCCCCTGTGGGAGAATAGTACACCACGGCCAACTGTCCCCTGTGGGAGAATAGTACACCACGGCCAACTGTCCCCTGTGGGAGAATAGTACACCACGGCCAACTGTCCCCTGTGGGAGAATAGTACACCACGGTCAACTGTCCCCTGTGGGAGAATAGTACACCACGGTCAACTGTCCCCTGTGGGAGAATAGTACACCACGGCCAACTGTCCCCTGTGGGAGAATAGTACACCACGGCCAACTGTCCCCTGTGGGAGAATAGTACACCACGGTCAACTGTCCCCTGTGGGAGAATAGTACACCACGGTCAACTGTCCCCTGTGGGAGAATAGTACACCACGGCCAACTGTCCCCTGTGGGAGAATAGTACACCACGGTCAACTGTCCCCTGTGGGAGAATAGTACACCACGGTCAACTGTCCCCTGTGGGAGAATAGTACACCACGGTCAACTGTCCCCTGTGGGAGAATAGTACACCACGGCCAACTGTCCCCTGTGGGAGAATAGTACACCACGGTCAACTGTCCCCTGTGGGAGAATAGTACACCACGGCCAACTGTCCCCTGTGGGAGAATAGTACACCACGGCCAACTGTCCCCTGTGGGAGAATAGTACACCACGGTCAACTGTCCCCTGTGGGAGAATAGTACACCACGGTCAACTGTCCCCTGTGGGAGAATAGTACACCACGGCCAACTGTCCCCTGTGGGAGAATAGTACACCACGACCAACTGCCCCCTGTGGGAGAATAGTACACCATGGTCAACTGTCCCCTGTGGGAGAATAGTACACCACGGTCAACTGTCCCCTGTGGGAGAATAGTACACCACGGCCAACTGTCCCCTGTGGGAGAATAGTACACCATGGTCAACTGTCCCTTGTGGGAGAATAGTACACCACGGCCAACTGTCCCCTGTGGGAGAATAGTACACCACGGCCAACTGTCCCCTGTGGGAGAATAGTACACCAAGGTCAACTGTCCCCTGTGGGAGAATAGTACACCACGGTCAACTGTCCCCTGTGGGAGAATAGTACACCACGGCCAACTGTCCCCTGTGGGAGAATAGTACACCATGGTCAACTGTCCCCTGTGGGAGAATAGTACACCACGGTCAACTGTCCCCTGTGGGAGAATAGTACACCACGGCCAACTGTCCCCTGTGGGAGAATAGTACACCACGGCCAACTGTCCCTTGTGGGAGAATAGTACACCACGGTCAACTGTCCCCTGTGGGAGAATAGTACACCATGGTCAACTGTCCCCTGTGGGAGAATAGTACACCATGGTCAACTGTCCCCTGTGGGAGGATAGTACACCACGGCCAACTGTCCCCTGTGGGAGAATAGTACACCACGGCCAACTGTCCCCTGTGGGAGAATTGTACACCACGGTTAACTGTCCCCTGTGGGAGAATAGTACACCACGGCCAACTGTCCCCTGTGGGAGAATAGTACACCACGGTCAACTGTCCCCTGTGGGAGAATAGTACACCACGGTCAACTGTCCCCTGTGGGAGAATAGTACACCACGGTCAACTGTCCCCTGTGGGAGAATAGTACACCACGGTCAACTGTCCCCTGTGGGAGAATAGTACACCATGGTCAACTGTCCCCTGTGGGAGGATAGTACACCACGGCTAACTGTCCCCTGTGGGAGAATAGTACACCACGGCTAACTGTCCCCTGTGGGAGAATAGTACACCAGGGCTAACTGTCCCCTGTGGGAGAATAGTACACCACGGCCAACTGTCCCCTGTGGGAGAATAGTACACCACGGCTAACTGTCCC